CCCCCGCCACATCCCCACCCCCAACTCCCACACAAACCGACAGGCCCATCGTACGACGACGAGTACGAGAAGCTCAACACGCTGCTGGCTGGTCTCAGCAACTCAAGGCAGGAGCTGAGGGTGGCCTCTTCCGGCCTGCAGGACGCTATCGCCAGCAAGAAGCTCCGCAACAAGACCAAGGCTCACCGCCGGAAGCACCACCACGCCCATGCCCACGCCCACATCAGGGGGGCCGGTGCGATGCACAGCGACCGCACACAGAGCGCCTCACCGCAGTCTCGTTCGATGGACCCCACCGCACGGACGGCCACCCCTATGGAGCTGGAGCGCATTGTCGAGGAGGAGAGCCACCACCAGCACCAGCAGCACCAGCAGCAATTGCATAGGGAGGAGAAGGCCAGTGAGAAGCTGCCGCCCCTGGCACCCAAGAGGGCCGTTATCATGACCGGCGGGCCACCCATCCCCCACCTCAAGCAGCAGCAGCAGCAGCAGGAGCGCACCGCGACCACGGGGGGCAGCATTGACACGACCCCGACACAGCCGGTGTCTGCCTTGAGGGCGCGGTTCAACGCGGCGAGTGCGAGCGGATCGTCTCCCAAGGTCCAGACTGAGAGGAACGGGGGGATGCAGTAGCAGACGAGGGAGGGAGGGGGGAGGGGGAGGGCGGAGGAGGGAGGGAGGAAAGTGTATTGCTATTGGTGGACAGCAATTTTGCACACAGGGACGGACAGATGGGGATGGATGTGCGCGGGGTGGATTGGCGGGCGGATCGGATGGGGTTCTTGTGTCGTACATACCATCCATGTGTGCCGTGTCGTGTGGTGTTGTGTAGGCAAATGTGTGTGCGTACATGTCATGTGATGGATGCGTGGGTCCGTCCGTCCAGCAGCTCTCTATCCCTCCCTCTCTCTAGTTATCTAAATGAATGGCCGCCATTCATCCATCCATCTCTATCCATCTCTACCTACCTACCTATCTGACTGTCTATCTGTCTATCTTTGAACTGGGCTAAGTGTGTTGTGCTGTGCCCTTTTTATCCTCCTGATCCATCCACGAACCATCACATGGTGTGTTGTGTGAATCAATGGATGTACCATGCGCCTGTCTGTCTGTCTCTCTCTGAGTGTCGTTTGTCTACACTCACCCACTGGCTCACTCAGTCACTCAGTCACTCATTGTCTAAACCGAGCAAGGGAACAAGCGGGCAGGACTCACGTCTGTGTGTGTATGCATGCTGTGTGTTGTGTGTTGTGTGTTGTGTGTGTGTGTATGCGTGCTGGGGGTGGATGTATGAGGACTCCGTTGTGTGCGTGCACTTTGACGTGTTCTGTAGCCGGCTGGTGACCCGCAGCGCTCCTGGTGCACAGAATCAGGAGCACTGCAGCTTCCGAGCCGGCGTCAGAATACCACAGATGCGCGGCACGACAGGCAGGGGAGGAAGGAAGCGTTGAGAGAGAGAGAACGAGTGGAAGACATCGGCGTTGCTACAACAGCCCCCCTCTCTGTGCGCCCACTTGTCTGTCCCGCACCTGCTGCGTCGAGTGGTCAGCTCACCCAGGCAGCGCTTGCACGCGCTGCCTGAGCTGTCTTTTTCACGTACCAGCTGTAGGATGACGCCTGCACAGCACAAGAGGGGAGCGGGGCGATGGATGGATGGATGGACGAATGTCTGCTGTTCGTTCGATTCGATGGAGCCTGGAAGGGTGTTTGTGGTGTTTTTGGTGCAAGCCATCCCTGCATGAGTGTTTTAGGCTTTGTGCTGCCCGCCTGCCTCCCTGCCTGACCTGCACGGCACTTTTTCCCTCCCCTCTCTCTCCTGTTTGTCTCCCCTCCCTCCCTCCCTCCCTCCCTGCCTGAGTTGCATTCCTTCCTTGCGTACACATTTTTGTCATGAATGCAATGCATCCCATCCCGTATGTATGTGTGGCTGTGTTGTCTGTCTGTGTATGTAGCACATTTATTGGGGCGTGGCGCCCTCGATTACTTTTGTTGCGCCTACCACACGCTCAGAGAGAGACAGAGAGAGGGAAGGACAGTCCGTGTGTTGGTTCGGCTTGTCTTGTCTTGTCTTGTGTAACACATGCATGCATGGCTCACGTGTGTGTGTAGGGGAGGACCAAGTGTTCTGTTCTGTGTGTACTTTTGTACTTTATCTTTATCTACTGCTGCCACGAGCTGCGAAGGAGCGATTTTGTACAGACAGATGAGTGAGCGAAGGGAGGGGTGTCTGGATGGATGGATGGATGGATCGTTGGGGGTTTTGTATTCTCCCTCGATGGATTGGTCTGTGTGTGTGTATGTGTGTGTGTGTGACGCAGCGAGGTGAGAGAGATGCAGGCAGGCGACTGAAAGACCCTTCATTCAGAGACCCCTCACTGACTGACTCTATTCTTCATTCATGAAGTGTCTTGGATACACTCGTGAGTGAATGAATGAGTATCTCATTGGTCGAGGCCCCGCCTGCACCGCCAGTCAGTTAGCGAATTGCCGAGTGATCGCACACATAGCGCACAGAGCGCACACCACACACGCGTGACATACATGACCACTGACTGACTGGGACGGACAGATAAAAAGACACTATCAACCATATCATTCGACAATGGCCTCATATTTCTCCCATATGAAGCTGACAGACAGACAGGCGAACAAACGGCCGTCGATCCATCCATCCATTGGCCCGCTGTGTGTCCTGCCTGCCTGCCTGCCTGCCTTGCTTTGCCCGCCTCGCCTCGCATGGCCTACCTGTAAAGTTCGTCGGCGCACTTGCAGTAGACCGTCTCGGCACTGTTGTACAGCCTGCAGTTGTCGAACATGAGTTTGAGCTCGGCGCCGAAGGTGGCCTTGTCCGGGAACTCTGAGGGAGTGAAACCATCCATACATCCATCCATCCACAAATCAGCCAACCGAGGCAGGCAGGCTCGCTTACCGTGGTTCTTGACCTTCTTCTGCATCGTGCTCAAATCTGCCCACCACGAGTCCCATCAGGCACTCACTGGCTGCAGCTGTGTGTGTATGTGTGTGTGTGTGTGTGTGTGTCCGACTGAGTGGCATGCCCACCCACCCACCCACCCACCTGTGGGATGTGTGATGACCTGGTAGTAGTCGGGCGCCTCAGCCAAGGTCACCGGCTTCTGCACACATACATACCCAACACACACATCCCATTCATTCCAGGAGGCACAGCCAGCCAGCCACCGACCCACTCCCTGACTGACTCACTGACCCTGAAGGGCCACGACTTGGGGTGGTTGACGAGTGCCTTGAGGATGGCCGTGAACTGCTCCTCCAAAGACTGGTGGTCCGCACTGCACACATCACACACCACACACACCACATCTCCATGCGATGCTTGTGTGTGTGTGTGTATGCGTGGGTAAGGGGCGCGTACGCGGTCTTCTGGCGCTTCGCAGGGTTGTCCTTCCACCCAGCATTCACTGCACACAAACGACGTCGCGTAAGAGAGAGAGAGAGAGAGAGAGTGGGTGTGGGGGGATGGGTGGGGGGGGATGGGGGCTGATGTGTGTGTCTTGTGTGTCGGTGGTTTCTTCTCTACTTACCGACTCCGGGTATGTCTGATGGGTGTAGAGGTACGCCGGGGTTGGTCACGAAGTACTGGATGCCCTCGAAGGACGTCTTGGACTTGTGCAGCATGATCTGCTCAAACAACCACTGAACTCACACACACACATACACACACAGAGAGACGGACCGACCGACCGATCCACACCACATGGTGTTCGAATGTTGATGTGTGTGTGTGTGTGTGTGTGTGGTTTGCGTTAGTACGTTCTTCTGGAGTTTGATCATATCCCCGATCTTCCTGTAGTTGACCAGGCTCGATATGCGGCACTCCATCAACGTGCCTGACACACAACAACACAAACACCGACACACACCACGGTCACACGAGTGAGTGCATCGAGTGCACTCCTTCCTACTCGTTCCTATGCTGTGTGTGATGCACTGCACTGACCCCCGTCGTATTCCTTGATATAGCCGCTGTGACGGTCCTTGGGCAGTGACACCGTCTTGGTGAAACCCTGAACAAACGGTGAAATAAATGGCATGCACGCGTGTGTGCGCATGGCCCGCCCCTTGTCCGTCCGATGGCCATACATCACGGGCCATCCCTACTCACTCCTTCACCCACCTGTTTCTGGAAGTATCCGATGGCGAAGTTGTCGGCAAACGTGAGGAAGTAGTCAATACCTGCACTCCCCCATCCATCCAATCGATGGATGGGCCCGTGCGAGTGAGTCTCTGTGTGGTGTAGGTACCGTACCAGTGCCCATGGTCTTGACATATTCCTTCAGGTGGTTCATCAGACGAGTGCCGTAACCCTACACAACACACATCCCACACACCACACACACACACCCCACACACACACACAGGTGTCAACGCGCCGTAATGGCTCGTGTGGGTTGGGTGGTTGGCTTAATTTGTGTGGGCGAGCACCGTTCGTCCTTACCTTGACCTGCTCGGTGGACGTGATGGCCAGGAAGGCAATCTCAGCGAAACGCTGCACACACACCGAAACCAGGAAGGAACGTGCAGACAGAAACACACACGCCGTGTGTATGTGTGTGTGCGTACTACCTGCTCGAAGAAGGGCCTGAAGCAGATGCCCCCGATAATCTTGTCCTGGACACACGACACGACACGACACGACACACGCATATATCCGTCCATCCATCCAGGCAGCAGGCCGTCCTCTCTTGGCGCATTTATTGCTGCACTCACTGATTGCCGTTCGTGTGTGTGAGTAGATAGCCCACCTTACCTTTTTCTTGAGGCAGTATGAGAAGTGTTTCCTGTCAAAGACGAGCCGCACGATGTACTCCCGGGGCATCTTGGGCAACTGACGCGAGAAGATGTTCTGACACACACACACACACACACACAATGGGGGGATACACACAACACACGTGTGTGCGTCAACTCAACATACGCATGCATTTGTGTGGAGTGGATGACGTGACGCCAGCCAACCTACCTTGAGGTGGACAAGCTTCATGAGATTTTCCCGCGACCCATCGTTGGATATGCACTCGAACCATATGATGCCTGCACACACACATAGACACATAGACAACATGCACACCACAGATGGATGGATGGATGGATGGAGGGATGGAGGGATGGAGGAAGGGATGGGCCGGTGGCGGTGCGTACCCAGGTCCTCCTCCGCCTTGCCCCCCGAGTCGCGCAGCAAGAAGCCCAGACCACTCTGAACACACCACATTCATGTCACACAGAGAGACGTAGCATAGCACGCAGTTATGATGCACCTTCTTCATGACACACGAACCTCTGATGCAAGGAAGCTCTCCGGGCTGGGCGCCGGGCCCTGACCACCCTGACCCTCAGCGGCAGCGGCCAACAACCTCTGCAGGCACACAACCACATACGCACACACACAGATGGATGGACCCCCACACGCACGCACAGTGGGAGTCCATCTATCTATCTATCTATCTACCCTTTCTAGGTCATCAGCGACGGCAGGGTCTTCAGCGGTGCATTCCGCGGCCAGCTGACACAACATCTGACGGAAGCGGTCCTCACCCAACACCGGCACCACAACACCTGCGCACACCACACACGTGTGTGTGTCGGTGTCTGTCTTTGTGTGTGCATGCCTGTGGATGGGCTGTGCGTGCGTGCTTACCTCTGAGGCCCCTGGCGGTCTCGTGTGTGTGTGTCTGCAGGAAGGTGAGCATCATGGTGCGGCCGAAGAAGGACGTGATGCGGTGGCCCTGCAGCCGCTCGCACGTCATGAAACGACTGTACCTGACCGACGGACGACACGCACGACACACATGAAGGACAGACACGTGTGTTGTGTACAGTACACTCTCCAAGGGAAATGCGCACGTGCGTACATACTCGGCGTATCTTTCGCGATACCGCTCGAGCTCCGCCTCATCCTACACAGACACACACACACACACACACATTGAGGCACACACACTCTATCTGTGTCCACCACACACACGAATGTCTGTCTGTGGTTACTTACCTTCTGTGCGCCTCCTTTGCTGGCGTATGCCTCGGGGTCTGTGAGGGGCAGGGTGTCGACGAAGCGCTTCATGGCCTGCAGCAGCGACCCGTAGTCGGCCGACTGGTGCAAAACGCACTCGTCGCGCTTCCGCTTCTGAACACACACACACGCACACACGAGGTAGTGCAAATCATGCATCGGCAAGGTGGTCGCATCCATCGCATCCATGGCAGCGATTGACCTACCCACCAGTGGGTTGGGCATCGTCCTCTCCAACACCGAACGCAGAAGCTGACATGACATGACATGACACACACACATACATGCATAGGATACACACATGCATTGCAAACGGGCCATCCATCCATTCGTCCACTGCACACTGCATCCCTCCCATCCGTCGATTCGATCAACCGCACCTACCTCTTCAATAGTGCATCCATTGTCTAGTTCAGCGTCCCTCGTGGCCTTCCACCGCACATCATCCCCCTCCCCTCTGCCGCCCTCACCCTTACCCCTACCCTCAGCCACACCCACACCCATGCTCTCATCTCTATCGCCAGCAGCAGCCGGTGCTGCAGCCGCCGCCGTCACTGCTGGTGGTAGTGGTGGTGGAGGTGGTGGTGGTGGTGCGGCAGATGCTGCTGCTGGTGCTGGTGTGCCATCGAGCACCCTGAGCTCTTGGGGCAGGGGGGGCGGCGGCATCAGCGCACGGTCGAAACTACTGCTAGATGAGGACGCCCCCTGACAGAGGCACGAAACACACACAACACATTCATCGCATCATGACAGTGCAGACGTGAGCAAGCGGTGGAGGTGGTTGCCTGTGCCCATAAACAGGCTCACCCGGTGCCCCGGTGTCGGCTCAGGCGGCGTTGGCTCAGGTACTGGTTGGCCATTGACCTGGTCGGCAGGCGGGCCAGCAGGAGGCTGGGAAGGCTTCTCCCGTTTTCTCTCCCCCCCTCCCACATCCCTCGGCACCGCTGTCGCCCCGCGGCCACCCTAGAAGAGCAGCAACCATCACAGAGACCTCATGAACAACATGGTGGGCGGTTACACACGAACACGCCACGGTTCTTCGATACCAATGGGTTCAGCACACGACCATGAGCCCATGCAGCGTACCTGTGCGGGTGGTAGGTCCTGCAGAGGCCCTCCGAAGCCGTTCCATATCGGTGTGGACATCATTTCGACAGAAAACACGATTTCGTTGATCTACATGACTGCAGCGGCTTCATACTAGTCCACACAGACACCGAAATGAGGGATTTGACACCCGATGCCATTGCGAGCTTGCAAGGCACGTTGCGATCAGGTGGATTCCTCAAGTGCCAGGGCCATTGTGGCGGCGTCGCAGTCATCGGCAGATCTGCAGGGAGACCGATAGATAGATCTCCGGCCGCATCTTTTATCGGCGTGTTCCTTGCGTGGCCAGCGCAATGCAGGTGGGCCTGAAGGGGACGGGCAGAGAGGGCCGGACGCAAAGGCCTGTGTGTGGTCGTGCTGTCTGTCTGTCAGTTGGTGCACTTCCACTCGCCCAAGTCGAATTGGCAGCGATGGATGCCCGTCATCGGCGGATTCCTCGTGCACATGACACTCGGTAGGGAGGCAGGGAGGGATAAGCTGATGGATGGATATGGATGCACTGCGGTGGCCACACATAGCCTGCCTGTGTGTGTGCGTGTGGTGTTTGCCATTGACTGACTGACAGGCACGATGCACTGCTTCGGCAACCTGACCATCTACATGACGTCCTACCTCAGGGAGGAGGGCGGGGAGGACCTCAGATATAAGGCACGAACGGCACCTACACAACGAACACCGACACACACACGCAGACACCCACCCAACCAACCACGCACGGCATGGCATGCAGACCTGAATGTGCGTGTCTGTGTGTGTGTGTGTGGCCGGCGATGCGCACATACAGGATACGATATGGATCTACGCGGCGTCGATAGTGTCCCAGGGGCTGTTCGGCACCATCGGCGGACAGATGGAGGGATGGATGGGACCCAGACTGTACGCCACGCCACGCCATCTGCACACCACCACCACCAGACAGACAGACAGACCAAGGAATGAATGTATGTTTGCGTTATGTTGTTGTGTTGTGTGTTGGCAGGGCGACTCTGGTTGGCGGCTGGCTGATGTCAGCTGGCGTGGCGCTGTCCTACTACACGGCACACTCATTCATCGGGCTGATGTGAGGACACGTACAGGCACACACCACCCATGGCATGACGCACACGTGCATCGGCGCACCACAAACAAACAAGTGCGTGTGGGTGTGACTGCTCGGCTCGGCTCGGCTCGGCCGTTGATTGATCAGTTTGACGTACGGTGTGTTGTGCGGCATCGGCTGTGGTCTGTGCTACCCCGTTCCTCTCGCATGTGCCCTCAAATGGCAACCTGACAGGAAGGGACTGGTGAGCTCAGCTGAACGGACTGACGGATGGACGGACGGATGGACAAATGTTGTGTGTGTCCACATCCATGGCTCTCTCGTTACTATGTATGGTTGCTGTGCTGTGCTGCAGGTGAGCGGCATTATATTCGTGGGCCGCGGCATGGCCGTCTTTCTGTTCCAGCCACTCCAGGTAGGTATGGTCGATAAATGAGGGCAGAGGAATGCATGAGGAGATGCATGCCATGCTCGTATCGTTCGTCCGTAGGTATGTGTGTGTGCACACCGGCCGCATCCATCATGATGCGTGTGATTGATTGATGTGTGCACTGCAGATGTGGTGGGTTAACCCATGGGATGAGACGCCTGACTTTGCGCCCGATGAGAGCAAACGTACGCACCGCACGCACACACACACGGGGGGCAGGACTGATAGGATAACAAACATGCACCGCACCACACCGCACCCGGCCGGGTAGTATTTGCATTTGTCCATATCTGTCGTGTGTCCATCAATTCCGTGCATTGATTGCATTGCATTCGTCCATCACTGCCTGCCTGCAGCAACGGAGCGTTACTACACAGCCCCCGATGTGCTGGACCGAGTGCCCACACTCTTCCTCGCACTCGGGGGCACATTCGCTGCCATACAAGTGAGGCAGTCAGTCAGTCAGTCAGTGAGGGCGGATGAAGGAAGGCACAGAAAGCACATGGACGGAGATGGATGGATGGATGACGACTGCAGTTGTTGGGCGCGTTGATGCTGTCGAATCCGCCCGATGAGGACCGCGACGAACCGCGGAAATTCCTCAGCGAACAGACATCAGTGAGTCGGTCGGTCGGGATGCAGGCAGGCAGCTCGCGAATTTCGTGGGAGTGGAGTCCTGTGTGTGGTGGGTTGCCTCGTTCAGGGTATAGGTTTGTCGATGGATTTGCAGCTGAGCACTGGTCAGCTGCTGTGCTCGTTCGCCTTTTGGCTGCTGTGGCTCATGATGTTCTTCAACTGGCAGGCAGTCGCCTTCTCACAAGTAGGCAGCTCAGGGAAGGGGACGGGAGCCATTCCACGCCGTGGCAGAGCAGAATACACACATCACATGTCTGTCTGTCATCTATCTCTGTGTTCGTTCGTTCCTTTGCCTGTGTGTGACTCCCATTAGGTGTTTTGGAAGGTGTTGGGTTTCCAGGACGTCGACAACGTCATGGACAGCAGATTGACCATACTTGGTCGGGGCGGAACACACACATACCATACACACATGGACACACACATACACATATACACACATCTCTGTCGAGGTCTGTGCGGTGTCGGGTCGGCAGGCAGCGTTGCGTGGTTCCTCAACACGGTGGGCCGCGTGTTCTGGGGCACTCTCGGCGACAGATGCGGCTTCAAATGCGCCATGGTACGTGCGCATGACATGAGAGCTCTACACGAGACATGCATGACTTGGTCGAAGTCGGTGTGTGTGGCCCGTCCAAATGCAATGCACGCAATGGAATGCCTGCCTCTCTCTAGAGCTTGATGTGTTTGTTGATGAGCGTCTTCATCGGCACCATCACACTCGCCGCTGAGCTGGGCGGATTCTGGGCATATGCCGTCTGGTACGGTACACACATATACCACTCACACACACAAACTGCTGTGAAGACTCTCTCTGTCTGTCTGTCTGTCTGTCTGTTGGCACCCTCAGGATGTGTGTGATCTTCATGGCCCATGGGGGTGCGTTCGCCATCTTCCCAGCCGTCACTGCCGACACGTTCGGCAAAAAGGCAGGCCGAGCCGAGCACAAAACCACCACACGCACACTCGAGGGAGGGAGGACACGTAAGTGTCAGTCACGTGTGTGTCCGCATCACATCCATCAGAACTTCGGTCCCGCGTTCGGGCTGCTCTTCACCGCTCGGGCGGTGGCGTCAATCGTGCACGCGCTCGGCGCTCAGGTAGGTGCGTCCGCCGCAGCGCGCGGTCTTTCCTCCTCCTGTCGATGTATGTCCATCGTGCTGTCTGTCTGTGTGGTATGCGCAGTATTTGATCGACACGTCTGGCGTCCACGGCATGGCCGAGGTGGTGGCCGCATGCACATTCGTCAGGTATACACGTAGATGGAGGGAGGGAGGGAGGGAGGGAGGGAGGATGGACGGCGTCTTGTGTTGATTCATGTGTGGCTGTGTTTGGTAAACGTGTGTGTGTGTGTGTGTGTGTGCAGTCTGCTGCTGGCACTGGTGTTCAAGCCGAGCTACTACCGCAGACCGGCCGCGTTCTGAACACTGACTTGATGGATGGATTGATGTGCACATGTATGTATGTATGTATGCATGTGTGAGTGTGTCGAGCGTCTGCTTAGGCTTTTATGTGTGTGTCTGTGTGTGCAGTGAGTGCAGTGAGCGCAACAGAGTCAGCCAGCGGTTTATGTGTGTGTCTGCCTGAGGGGCTGTGGGTGGGTGGATGTGAATATAGCGGTAGGTATCGACCAACCAGCCGATCTAAAAAGGAAGGGGATTGATTAGTTCCGTCTCTGTTATGTTGATATGTATGTATGTGTGTATGTATGTGCCTTCCTTTCTGCTCTCTCCCTTTCTCTCTCCCCCTCTCTCTCTCTGTTTCCTTTGGCGCGTGCCTGTGTGTACAGATCTCATATTTTGCATTCGTTCAGCTAGTCATCATCATGGCCGGTGTGTCGACACTCTTGATTAGTTCACCTTGGCACCAAAACAGACATTGCAATCAAGGTCCCAGTGTGTCGCAGCTCACACTCACACACCACACCCACGTATGTATGTATGAGTCGAAAAACGAACAGCTGCGCTGCAGCAGCAGTAGCGGGCGGCATGGCATGGCATGGCCTGCACACGGGCACACACAGGCAGGGAGGAAGGGAGGGAGGGAGGAGTCGCACAGAGAGACCTCCAAGCCAACCAACCACACAGTTATCGCACACACAAATCATCGACCATCTGACACACAAGACACACAAAAGCTTGGAGGGAAGTCCCCACAATATATTAGGACAATAGTCGGCCGCCACACCACACGACACCTCTCACACGCAATTTTCACATCCATGCAGAAATTGGCGGGTGTAATTGACACATCTGTATAAACATCAAACCCACCCTCCCCCCACTCACGCTCAATGGAATGTGTGTGTCTAGTCACACACACACACACTCACACAGACACGTACGCAAACACCGCCCACAGCACATCCCGGACCGCTTTGGGTCGGATGCATTGAATGCACAGCTGGCCACCCGCCCATATCAACAAACACCAAAGAGCCACACACACACAGACAGACAGACAGACACAAAACATCTCGGACGGACGGCTCAGTCAGTGCTTCCGTCCGCACCACATCACACCACACCACACCACATCACCAGCATAGCAAATTATGAGAGATGATATAAACCACCCCATCCATGTATCCATCCATCCATCCGTGCGTCAATCTCACACATCACAGCTCTCCCCTCTGTATGTCTCCTCTCCTCGACCCCTCCTCTCCCTCTCCTCCTTCGACCTTGACCTCCGTCCACATGACCACGAGCCCGTCCCCTTTCAGCAGCCGCACCCCCTCCAGCCCCCTCCCCGCCCACTCCACACCCTTACCCCTCCCCTCCCTCCGTTGGACCACCCCCCCAGCCGCAGCGTCAGCGTCATCACCACTCGATATGCTCACCATCTCATAGGTCTTGCTCTCATCCAAGAATTCCACAGGGATGTGTGGGACCACCACCGTCTCTTCCCGCCCGTTGATGGCAGCGAGGAACCACCTCTCGGTTGTGTCGTTGTTGGTCTTGCGAGCCATGACGGCGAGTTGGCCGATTCTGCTGGGGGGGAGGGTATGGGTGGTGTGCCACGTGGTGGGGATGGCCTTGATGACGTCCAGGGCGGGGGCGTGCGGCTTGCTCTTGTCCAGGAGGTAGTGAGGGTCCTCTGCGATGGTCTGCAGCGGTGAGTCAAACAAGACTAGCAACGCCATCTGGTGCACCTGCACCCACCCGTCCACACACACACACACACACGTGGATAGATAGAATGGTTCTGTCCACTTGTGTGGCTGCATTCCATTCGGCAATTAAGGCTGGCTGACCAGGGTGGTGTTGCCCCTCCTCTCGGCATTGAGTGCCATGGGTGTGTAGTCGGCGCCGCCCAGGACGAATCGCGTGAAAGGCAGGATGGCGTTGTGTCGTGCTGTGATGGGTTTGAGGTGCTGCTGGTCCAGGATGAAGTCCGCCCCGTGGATCAGACGCATGATCTCCATGCCCCACACCGCCTCACGTGTCAACTGAAACAAAGGGATAATGGAATCGCAGTGTGTGTGCAGGGCAGGGCGGTCATGCCCTCTGTTTGTGAGCTGCGCCTACTTGGTTGGGGTATCTCCGCGACTCTCCGCTGGGCTTGTGGCAGCCATGCAGGTTGACGACCAGCTCCAGCTCGGCAGACATCTCCATCAGGGCCGTCTCGAAACGAACCAAATCTGTCAGTCCCACAAAGCACACACAACACAAACAAAGAGGAGACATCTATCGTCCGTCCAAGAGAGACAGCCCAGCTGAGCCATCCGTGTGTCTGTCTGTCTCTCTTCTGTGCAGCGCACCCTCCGTCTCTCCGTGCACAAAGTCCACTTTGACACCGCTGGCGCCCGTGGCCTTGAGGCGGTTCAGAAACCGGCGCAGGCTCTTGAATTCGCCTGTAGGGCCCGGGTCAACTATGGTGTCGTTGTCATTCGTGTCCTGAATCGAATCAACACACAAGGAAGGAATGGCGCTCGATTGAGTCGGGCTTCGTGCCCCCATGAACGAACGGCACTGCACTGCACTACAGCGACGTACGGACGGACCTTCCAAGCGATGACCTTGACGCCCCTCTCCCTGGCGTAGTCGCTGAGGTCGGCCAGCATCGAGTACGCAGTGCGCATTTCGGGAAGCGCCTCTGGCCACAGCCCGTTGGGGTCACGCCGCCGGATCGGGGGAATTAGAAAACCGTCCCTGTGCACGGTCAGATCGATGGTCAGTCCAACGGGCACACACAGATGGAGGGATGGATGCGGCCTGTATGAAAGGCAGTTAGTGAGGTGTGTGTGTGTGCGTACGTGGTGTCGTTGTTGCCCCACTGCTGCCAGCAGCAGTCGACGGTGGTGTACTCGAAGCCCAGCTCGGCCGCCGCCTCGATGTAGCGCTTCTCGCCCTCCACTGTTGTCTCGTCCCACCCCCTGTCCTCCGTCCACTCGGCATTATACCAAGCCCACACCGACCGACCCGGCAGCACCCACGACGGCAGCTCGCCCCCTACCGCCTGCTTTGCATCATTCTGCTGTGGCCCCATGACGGCCATCTGGTCGCCCCACCCAGAGGATGATCCTGATGTCTGGAAGAGCTCAGGATCGGGGGCGGGGTTGAGGTGAGAGACCATCTCGTTGTTGACGAGCTCGTCAAGGTTGGCGGCGAGCATGACGACGCGCCATGGCGTGTGGGTGAGTCCGTCGTCCTCGCTTTTGGGCGAGGCGGCGAAGATGGCCTCGCTAAAGTTGGCACGGAAGATGCGGCCGGGGAAGGCCTCGATGCGCATGCCGGAAAAGTCGTAGAGTGCCGCCTCGGTCACCATGACGTACTGGATGCCCTTGCCGCTCCAGCCGTCGCTACTGGGGTCCATCTCAAACAGCAGCGGAGGACCGTAGACGTGACCAAAGTCCTTGTTGCGGGTGGCCAGGTGGTCGACGGGAGAATGGAACCACTCACCCGCATAGCTCCACAGCTCGTAGACGCTGAGGCCATCTGTCCTCTCAAAGTGCCACACATGGCTGCCATCTGCACACACACACGCACACGCACACACACGCACACCAACACCAGGCCACCTCAACAATGCCGCCCCGCCCCGCGCCACACACACACTCTCTCTCACGCACACCCACCTGGCATGACGAATTCCGTGTCCTCGTCGCTGATCTGGTCCTTGTCAGTGCCATCCCATGAGTATCTGAAGGCCGCCCCGTCGTTGAACAGCCGCACATTGAGGTACCAGGTGATGTTGCCCTCCATCTGCCGCACCGGGAAGGTGTAGTCCATGGCGTGGCTGGTCACCAACCGATGCTTCCCCAGCGTCACATAAGTCTCCTCCATCTCCTCGGGCGGCAGCTCGTGCATCTCCACACCACGACCCAGGTTCATGCCGTTGACCGTCACGCCCAGCGCAGAGCTCTCAACGATCTCGCCGCCAGTCGCCCGGTCCGTCACCTTGTACATGAGCTGGTTCCGCCCCGGGCTCGGGCTCTCGACATCGTCACCATTCTCCGACACAAAGACGGTGAACACATAGGGCGGCGATGCGGCGGTGCCAGTATCAGCATCATTATCATCATCGGCTGCTGGCGTGCTGCGTGGCGGTGGCGGGGTGATGTCCTTGGATGTGACAGGGGCGCCGATGGGGAGCAGGGCCGCCAGTGGGACAGATGCGGCCTGCTGCCATAATGTGGCCACACAAATCAGCAGGACTGCCCAGTCCATCGTGGAGAGGGCGCGGTGGTACCTCGGGAGAGAACCCAGCAGCGGTTTTAGATCCGCCGATTGCGAGCTTCAAGTGTGGGGAGCCAAGGAGAGGGATCTCACTCACCTCAGCCCCCTGCCACGCATCATCCCTTCTTCGACTCCTTGGTGCAGCGGGCCGCATCATCCCATCGCTAGGTGCAGCAGGTGTGCATCCACACACACACACGCACGCACAAACACGCAGATCCATCCCCGCACCGCACCGCCCCTGGTCTGGTTGCTCATGCAGGTGTGGTTGTCCCATCTTGTGGGCATCTTGGCGATGGACAATCTGATCCCCGTGATCAACCGCCTGCAGGACGTCTTGACGTCCGTCGGCATCAACACGGGTACGGACACACACACGCAGCACGCAGGCCGCTCATGCACACACAGGCAGACAGACAGAGCGGCACAGCGATAGCTATAGCCAACGGCGGATCGCAGACAGACAGACAGACAGACAGGCAGAGGTAGATCTGCTGTGCCTGCCTGAGTTTGGCTGCATCTGCTCTGTCTGTCTGTGTGTCTGCAGGCATCGATCTGCCGCAAATCGCAGTGGTGGGAGCGCAGTCGGTGGGCAAGTCCTCGGTGCTCGAGTCGCTCGTCGGGCGGGACTTCCTCCCTCGCGGCACCGGCATCATCACGCGGCGCCCTCTCATCCTGCAGCTCAGGAATATCACGCAAAACAAACCCTCTGCAGCCGCCGCTGCTGCCTCGGGTGGTGCCTCGGGTGGTGCATCTGCATCATCCCCCAGCACCACTAGCGGCAACCCCACCACCACCACCAACAGCCCGCCCCAGGAGTGGGGGGAGTTCGGCCACGCGCCCGGGCACCGGTTTGAGGACTTCGACGCCATCCGGAAGGAGATCGAGCGGGAGACGGAGCGGGTGACGGGGCGGAACAAGATGATATCTGCGCAGCCGATAACGCTCAAGATCTACAGCCCTTACGTGATTGACCTGACGCTGGTGGACCTGCCTGGGATGACCAAGGTGCCCGTAGGGGACCAGCCGAGCGACATTGAGCTGCAGGTGAGGCGGCTGGTGCTCCAGTACATCACCAAGCCCTCCTGTATCGTCCTCGCCATCACCGCTGGTACGTACGTATGGTATGGTGGCTGCCTGCGTGTGGATGACCTGAGTGAGCCACGTACGTACGAGTTGGTGTGTGGTGTGTGTGATCTATCAGCCAACACGGATTTGGCCAACAGCGATGCTCTGAAGATTGCTCGAGAGGTCGACCCAGACGGCGCGCGGACCATCGGTCGGTCAGCCAGCAGCCAGCCCCCCACACGGACACAGACACAGACCCACACCCATATGAGATGTGATGTGCGCGTGTGTGTAACACTGCACTCACCGCCCCCAGGTGTGTTGACCAAGTGCGACCTGATGGATGACGGCACCGACGCTTTGGACATGCTGCACGGCAAGATCTACCCACTCAGGAGGGGGTACGTGGCGGTGGTGTGTCGGAGCCAGAAGGACATTGCCGGCAAGAAGAACATCCGGGACGCACTCAGGGAGGAGGAGAAGTTCTTCCGCAGCCACGCGGCCTACAGGCACATTGCACACAAGTGCGGCACGCACTACCTCGCAAACATGCTGAACCAGGTCAGTGAGTTAGGTGGGTGGGTGGGCACACTCACTATCTCACATGACATGAGCGACGTGTGGCTGGATGGATGGATGGATGGGCCATCGATTGGTTGGATGGTGGCCATGCAGATCTTTATGCACCACATTCGGGACACCCTGCCTGAGCTGAAGGCAAGGATACAAACTCTCCTGCACGAAAACGAAGAGGAGCTCGCCGGTATGTCAGACAGACAGACAGACAGAGAGAGAGACAGAGAGAGAGAGACGCCCGCCCACCCCACACACACAGACGGCAGGGCAGCCCTTCCCAATGCATCCATCCACACGTGTCTGTCTGTTGTTTCTCTGTGCCGTATGTAGCGTATGGCGATTCGATGCTGGAGGGGACGGGCAACCCCGGCGCCCTGCTGCTGCACTTCTTCTCCAAATTCGCCAGGAGCTTCCAGGCACGACACGACACGCCCACACACACACATCTTTCTGTGTGTCAATCGACGTGTATCTGTTGCTATGTGTGTGCGGTTGACTGAGTGCAGGAGGCGATCGACGGTCAGCTGGCGACTCAGCACCTGGCGGACCAGCTGCAGGGCGGCGCGCGGATCAACTTCATCTTCCACGACTGGTTCGTCAAGACCCTCAACGTGCGCAATCCAATGCCCACACAGACACCCCCACCCCACCTAGAAGACGCACACACAGACCTGAATGAACGGATGGATGGGTGGATGGAGATGGAGGGATGGATGTGTTTCTGTTTATTTATTTGCTGGCAGGAGTTCGACCCCTTGTCAGGTCTGACAGACCTGGAGATTCGGACGTCGATCCGAAACGCCACGGGGCCCAAGGCAGCTCTGTTCGTGCCGGAGGGGGCCTTTGAGATACTCGTCAAGAAACAAATCTCCAAACTCGAGCAGCCGGCACTCAGATGCGTCGACCAGGTACACAAACACAGACAGACAGACAGACAGACAGAGGGAGGGATGGAGGGAGGGAGGGAGGGGGGAGATACTCACGCACACTCATGTGTGTATGGACCATGTGTGTGTGTGTCGTGTCTGTTTAGGTATACGAGGAGCTGCAGAAGATGGTGGAGATGTGCGAGTCGCCCGAGATGACGCGCTACACCAACCTGCGGGACAGGCTGGTCGAGGTGGTCCGCGGCGTCCTCAGGAAGTGCCTGCAGCCCACCAACCAAATGATCAGCAACCTCATACAGGTACTTAGTACACACACATATGGATGGATGGATGGGTGGATGGATGTGTGTGTGTGTGTGTGTTGGTGGCAGATTGAGCTGAGCTACATCAACACGAACCATCCGGACTTCGTTGGAGGGTGAGAGAGAGAGGGAGAGAGACACACAGAGACGCGTATGCAGGCAGTCCTGTTTGTTCCTTCCGTGTTTGCAGCAACCGTGCGATCCACTCGATCTCCCTGAACCTCAACCGGCACATGGCCACGAGCACGCCCCCCACCTCCCGCCCACCCACACAGCCCACGCAGCAGCAGAACACCCAGCAGCAGCCCCAGCAAAGGCTCACACACACACACCCTCACGCAAACCCACACCCCCATCAGCACGGGGGGATGCCCGTCGGCTGGAACCACCCACAGAGTGCTTACATGAGGGAGCAGCAGCAGCAGCAGCAGCATCAGCAGCAGGGGAGCAGGCACCGCAGCGCGTCCAGTGACAGCAAGAGGGACGACAAGCAGAAGGAGAGCGGAGGTGGAGCTGGAGGTGGGGCAGGGGGCGGTCACCAGGCGAATGGGCCCGTGGCGGCCACCCCCACCTCTGCCCACTCCCAGCAGCATCAGCATCAGCAGCAGCAGGTCACCAACCCCGCCTTTGCCCAAGCAGCCGAGTCACAGGTACGTACACCTACCTACAACAGACAGACAGACACAGGGGATGGACCATCCAGACAGACGTCTCTCTTGATTCTCCTTGGTCGATCAGTTGCCGACCAACACAGGGTTCTTCACCTTTCTGCGTGGCTCCAACCGTCCGTCCCCGCCGGCCACGCCCAACACGAACCCCAACCCCACCAGCAATGTGCCCCCCTTGCCACACACGGCCAGCAACCCACCCTCGCACACTGTGTCCACCAACGACGTCGTGCCCGCCGGCACGACCCAGGCAGGGGCACCGGGCGGTGTGTATGATGGTTACTATGCCCAGACCAAGGGCAACCTCAACCCAATGGTCGGGCAGTCAGCCAAACAACACAACACTCACACATTGTGCATGTCTCTCTGTCTGTCTGTCTGTCTGTCTGTGTCTCTGTGTGTGCAGGCTCTCCCTAGCGGCGCGGACAGTGTCAGCTCGTACCCGTCATATGCCGACAACCCCTCCCAGCAGCAGCCGCCGTACCCCCCGCCCTCATCGCACCTCACCACCTACTACCACGGCATTCTACAAAACGGTAGGTAACAAACAGGCATACAGCGACAGACATCTACGTGTCGGCACGTGTGTGTGTGTGTGTGTGCGTGTGTGTGCAGCAGTGCCGCCGCACCAGCACGCTCAGGTTGGGCAGGACAGGGCAGACATCAGGCTGCCGGCCGTGCCGCCCATCGTGCGTGCGGGCGACGTGGCCTCTGAGAGGGAGAGGGTGGAGGCCGACCTCATCAAGTCGCTCATCGCATCATACTTCTGCATCGTCAGGTCAGCTCAGCCGGGGGGGCCAATGTGTGTGTGTGTGTGTGTGTGTACCTACCTTCTGTGTCGCGCGCAATATGTGTCTGTGTGTGTGTGTGTGCGGTCATATACATCAGGAAGAATATCAGCGACGCGGTGCCCAAGGCCATAATGTACTTCATGGTCAACACGGCCAAGGAGGTGCTGCAGCGGGAGCTCGTTGCTCAGCTATACAAAGACGGTGAGCACACACAGCACACCACAGGCACAGCACAGCACAGCACAGGACGGCAGGGTGTTTCCGGCCGTCTCATTCATCTGCACTGACTGCATGCGGTGTGGTGTGGTGTGTGCAGAGCTGTTCCCCGAGTTGCTGAAGGAGGCTGACGACATCGCAGAGAGGAGACAGCACTGCATGGACGTCCTCAAGTGAGCAGGGCAGGAAACAGATACATACGAGGCAGCCGACACCGATCCGCATCCATCCAATCCACACACCACACCTGTGTATGTGTATGTGTCTGTATGTGTCTGTGTGTGTCTGTGTGTGGTGTGTCGGTGTGTCAGGACGTTGCGCAACGCCTTAGAGATAGTGGGCCAGATCAGGGACAGCAACCTTCAGCAGGAGATCGCCCCTTCCACCTAGCCCACACCACACCCCCATCTATCTATCGCAAACAAACCCATCCCATCCATGATGCATCCGTGTTTGCGTGCCATGTCGCCGTGTGTGTCCGTGTCGTGTGTGTCCGTGTGAGTGTTTGTGACCGCCAGCCAGGTGACCGACCGACCGACGTTTTCTGTAGAGTAGAGAGAGAGAGACGGACAAACTCATGGGATGGATGGATGGATGTGGGTGTGTCTGATGGACGTACGTACACGGCCTCAATCCCTTCACTCGGCGGAAGCAAAGAAAGGCAATTTCAGGCGGGCGATTGAACTCTGTTGCTTGTTGAATCGCTCATGTAGGTAGGTTAGGTGGTTTGTGTCTGTCTCACGAGACGCCCCACCGCCACACACACAGACAGACAGACAGACACCCACAGAAGCAGAGAGAGCACCCCCCAACGGGTCCGTCCGTCCATCTGTGCGCGCAATCAAATCATAGTCCCACACAGCCGGCCGGCCGGCCATCAAGTCATCATCCCACCCTCCAAGCAGACAGACAGACAGACAGACAAGGAAAGGAGCACGGGAGCACCAAGTAGCGAGTGAGTGGCTTCTATATAGACAGCACTCCACTCCCCCCACGTGCACACCCACCCGCCGACCAACACATCAGACAGACAGCACTACATTAGATTGATTCAGCACACACCAACTAGATAGAGAGACCGTCTGAGAGGTGCGTGTCGCGTGTCGCGATCGACACATCCATCAGGTAGGTCCGTGCGCACTTGCAGACACCAACACTGGGGAGAGAGGGAGGGAGGGAGGGAGGGGCGACACGTAATCAGTGCCGCGAAAGACATTAGTCAGACAGAAGACGAGCAGGTAGACGAGACACGGGCAGAACTACGGTATGTATCTTTTTTCCCCTGTACGTCCTCTCACACAAAACAGGCAGGCCCCAACTATCCCCCCAGTACCTCTCTCTCACCAAGAATCTGTCCTTCTATCTGATCTGATCCCTAAGCGACATCAAACACACATACATACGCCACATGGCGAGACAAGCAACATGAAAAAGGTGCCCAGCCCATCCATCCACGCCAGCCGGGCAGCTCGATGCAAAGCGTACAAAAGGAGGTCGCTTGCTCACTGGCTGGCTGGCTGGCCGGCTGGCCGGCTACCTTGGAGTGTGTGTGTGAATGTCCATGCAGGCAGGCAGGCATTGATAAGTAGGTGTACAGCAACAGAAAGGCAGGCAGGCAGGCACTATGAAAAAGGAAATTCATGTACATGTCGTACATGTATGTACTACCCGTACGTGTACGTACATGTACCCGTACGTGTACGTACATGTACCCGTACGTGTACGTGTACGTATGTATGTACATACGTTTGTGACGTTGCTGATCGCTGTGTGTGGGTGGGTGGACGGTGTGTGTGTCGGCTAGCCGACGTACGACCGGATGAGAGGCGAGTTGAAGGGCACGTCCACTCTGCGGCCGCCAACCACAAAAGAATGGGTGACGCCCTGAACACACACAGCACAGCACAGCACAGCAAACACACGCACGCACGCCAGTGTATGTTATGTGCGTCAGCAGAGGGAGGGACGCATCTCAGGTAGGTCGCCTGCTTACCGTGAAGACGCGCTGCGTTCCCGCCCCGAAGCACCTAGGGTCCCGCGCACCATTGCGACACCGGATGGCCAGATTCCTGTCGTAGAAGGGGTTCAGCCTGACAATACAACGAACGACACAGCCAACAGAGGTGACCACCTTGTCTGTCTGAGTGTCTGTCTGTCTGTCTGTCTGTCTGTCCGTCGGTGGCGTGCCTAAGGTACCTACCGTCGTCCCTTTGCGGCGCCTCCGTCCTTCCGGGCCTCCGCCTCTTCGAACTCTGAGAGATGAGTGAGTATATGAATGTGGCATACGTATTCAGAACAAACAGAGACCCGCCCTACCCACACACACGTACACGTGTGTGTATGTACCTTACCTTGGTCAAATGTGATGTTCCTGAGTGTGTCGCCGTTGCGGTCAGTCAGGCTGTAGCCGTCCGGGTCCACTGACAAAGTGCTGTCGTCAAGCTGCACACATACACACACACACACACACACGTGTCAGCACTGACTGTACTGTCTGTCCGCGCACTCCCTGTCATGGGTAGATAGATCTTACGAAAACGAAATCGAGGGACTCGGGCTTGTTGATGATGGCAGCCACGCGGTAGTAGCCAAAGGTCTCGTTGTCGTGCTGCCAGTCAGTCAAGACCCACCCAGACAGACACCCAGACACACACATGTGGATGGGATGCATCGGCTGGCCAGCCTCGTGGGCGGTGTCGGTGCGGTGCGTGGATGTGCGCATGCATGCACACCTACCGGGACGAACAGTGCCTCGAGCTTCTCGTAGTTGGACAGCGGCTGGCTGAACAGGTTCGACAGCTCGTACAGCTCAAGATCCTCCTGCACACCTGCAAGGGGGAGAGAAACATACATACGGATGCGCGTATGGTGTGTCGATTGATTGGTGGGTGGCTGATCGGATCAGCCGGTGGGTAGTGTGTGGTCGGGTCAGCCTACGTATCTTGACGTTGCCGTCCCCCTTTTTCGTGGAGACGCCGTCCTTCTCGATATTCGTCTCCTTGGTGACTGCACGCCACTCGTCACAGAAACCCACGTCACACATGCCATGCAGACTGACGTATGCGGCCCACATATATATCATGCCAACCAACGTACTCTCAGATCCGCCGACAGCGAGCCCGAAGATGATGGCGAGGGTGGCAATATAGAGACCAACCAAGCCGGCAACCAGCCACCTGATCACCAAAACCACACCAAACCACACCTGTTGGTTGCATCTGTCCAGTGACTCGCTCCAACCCTCCCATGGGGAGAGTATCCTACCGCAGTCTTCTGACTTTCGTCTGCTCACTCATCAGCTTCCTCACCGCAATGACGACCTCCTGAGTGCTGAACTTGCCATCGCCGTCGGTGTCAAGCTCCTACGCGGACCAGACATGACATGAGGCACATGTATGCAAAACGTGTCAATCAGTGTGCGCGCGTGCATCACCTTGAGGATGGTTGTGATGCGCTCGGCGCCACTGTTGGTGGTGTCGGGGAGGGCCGCTGCCGCCCTGAATTTTTCTGTCCGAGATGTCACTGCCCCAGATGTGGTCATGATGGCGATGGTGCGATGATACAACGATGCGATCTACAGATTCTACACGGTTTTCACGAGATGCTCGACGCTGTGCAGTCCCTCACGACAAAAACAGCGAAAGACTTCTCTTCTCAAGGTCCGAGAACTGCAAGCTCGGCTCTGAGCTAAGCTCGCAGGGCGGAGAAGAGCCTCTCGTAAGGAGAAGCAGCACTGCAGGAGAAAGCGGCACACCTCCAGGGCTTCCTTAGGGGTGAGCGGATGTGAGATCTCTCATGAACATCAGTGAGTCACTTGAACCCATCTATCTGTGTCTGTGGTCTTTCTTGTTGCTTGTGCCTGCAGATGTCTGACCCACTGACCTTCTTGGCAGCAACTATCTGATGTCACTCACCAGTGGAAGACCTGCCTGGCCTCTCGAGGCTTGTTTGTCATGGCTCAACTCAACGAAGGGAGGACGGCGCGTCTGGGCTCGGGGTGTGGTGTGCTGTGCGGGAGTTGCAACTGACCCGGATTGATCTCAATCGGTCGGCATCTGATCTGTGTGTGTTTGGCGGCGGATCGGATTGGCGAGCCGTCTGCTTCGATCATTGAGTGTCACTATGTAGCTGCAGCGCATCGCTCGTCTGCAAGTCAGTCCCCGGCCGGCCCCGCTCACGGTCTGTCTGTCTAATCACATCACCACGTATGCCGACGCGAACGCACACACATACACGCACACGTGGATGGACCCACCGACGCATGTGTGCACTATGGTTGTGCATCCCATCCTGTTTGTCTGTCTGTCTGTTTGTCTGCAGTGAGTGAGTATCCCCATCCTGCCTGTCTGTCCGTCTGTGTGGCATTCACTCGTCGTCCTCTTCCTCCTCGAAGTCCTCCTCCTCCGCATCTTCGCCCTCGTCTTCGGCCTCTTCGTCAGACTGGTCCGATCCGCCCCCCTGTCCTCCCCACTCGCCGCAGTGGCGCTTGGCCGCCAGCCATCCGTCCGCCCCCCACTTGCGCTTGCCGCCCTCAGCCCCGTCGTAGCTATCTCCTTCGCCCTCGCCCTCGCCCTCGCTCTCGCCCTCGCCATCGGCTAGCGCATCCCAGAGGTTGACCATGGCGATTGTGTCGTTTGGGGTCGGGGTGGGGCGGCAGATGGTGGCGGTGTCCTTATCGTAGGTGGCGAAACTGCATGCATATGACATGGACAGACAGATACTTACGTGGATGGACAACAAACTGTGTTGGTGTATACTGATCAATCTGTTGGTTGGCTGGCTGGCTGGCCGTAGCTGGCCCACGAATGCACTCACTAGGTCTGAGGGTCCTCTATGTCGGGGTCCTTGACGGCCGTCAGATGAGCGTTGCCATCAATCCCAAACTCCTGCACACACACACACACAGAAAGACAGACAGACAGACAGAAACATGTATGTATGTATGTATTTGTGTGTGTATCTGTCTGTCTGTATCAAGGTTGTCCATCCATTCGTACCATTTGGTGGTTCTCGCACACTTCCTCAGTCAGGATGGCCCCAAAACTGCTAAGCAGCGCCTTGTGCTCCTGCAATACACACCACACCACACACACGCACATCCACACTGTTGTCAGTCTCTTTATACCCTTCTGGATGCTTCTCTGTGTGTGCAGTGCAACCTCGACGAGCTCCGATGTGCTTGGCTCCGATTTGAGCTTGACCTTGACCAACGTAGCGCCTTCCAGGTAGCTACACATATACACAACACGACACAACGGCTGATACCTCTTGGTTTGTGCGTGTGTGTGTGTGGGAGGGGCGGGGGGGGGGGGGGGGGGGGGG